ACTGCACACGGAGATGTACAGAGAGAGAGTAGGCCTCGACTGCACACAGAGATGTACAGAGAGAGAGTAGGCCTCGACTGCACACGGAGATGTACAGGGAGAGAGTAGGCCTCGACTGCACACGGAGATGTACAGAGAGAGAATAGGCCTCGACTGCACACAGAGATGTAGAGAGAGAATAGGCCTCGACTGCATACAGAGATGTACAGAGAGAGAGTAGGTCTCGACTGCACACAGAGATGTACAGAGAGAGAGTAGGCCTCGACTGCACACGGAGATGTACAGAGAGAGAGTAGGCCTCGACTGCACACGGAGATGTACAGAGAGAGAATAGGCCTCGACTGCACACAGAGATGTAGAGAGAGAATAGGCCTCAACTGCACACAGAGATGTAGAGAGAGAATAGGCCTCGACTGCACACAGAGATGTAGAGAGAGAATAAGCCTCGACTGCACACAGCGATGTAGAGAGAGAATAGGCCTCGACTGCACACAGAGATGTAGAGAGAGAATAGGCCTCGACTGCACACAGAGATGTACAGAGAGAGTAGGCCTCGACTGCAGACAGAGATGTAGAGAGAGAATAGGCCTCGACTGCAGACAGAGATGTAGAGAGAGAATAAGCCTCGACTGCACACAGAGATGTAGAGAGAGAGTAGGCCTCGACTGCACACAGAGATGTACAGAGAGAGAATAGGTCTCGACTGCACACAGAGATGTACAGAGAGAGAATAGGTCTCGACTGCACACAGAGATGTAGAGAGAGAATAGGCCTCGACTGCATACGGAGATGTACAGAGAGAGAGTAGGCCTCGACTGCACACAGAGATGTACAGAGAGAGAGTAGGTCTCGACTGCACACAGAGATGTACAGAGAGAGAGTAGGCCTCGACTGCACACGGAGATGTACAGAGAGAGAGTAGGCCTCGACTGCACACGGAGATGTACAGAGAGAGAATAGGCCTCGACTGCACACAGAGATGTAGAGAGAGAATAGGCCTCGACTGCACACAGAGATGTACAGAGAGAGAATAGGTCTCGACTGCACACAGAGATGTAGAGAGAGAATAGGCCTCGACTGCACACAGAGATGTAGAGAGAGAATAAGCCTCGACTGCACACAGAGATGTAGAGAGAGAATAGGCCTCGACTGCACACAGAGATGTAGAGAGAGAATAGGCCTCGACTGCACACAGAGATGTACAGAGAGAGTAGGCCTCGACTGCAGACAGAGATGTAGAGAGAGAATAGGCCTCGACTGCAGACAGAGATGTAGAGAGAGAATAAGCCTCGACTGCACACAGAGATGTAGAGAGAGAGTAGGCCTCGACTGCACACAGAGATGTACAGAGAGAGAATAGGTCTCGACTGCACACAGAGATGTACAGAGAGAGAATAGGTCTCGACTGCACACAGAGATGTAGAGAGAGAATAGGCCTCGACTGCATACGGAGATGTACAGAGAGAGAATAGGCCTCGACTGCACACGGAGATGTAGAGAGAGAATAGGCCTCGACTGCAGACAGAGATGTAGAGAGAGAGTAGGCCTCAACTGTGGAGAGGAAGGAAGGTGTTTGGAGATTTTACACAAAGACTAGCATTATGACAGTTCCCATCGAAGATCCAGGGAATTGGGAAAGAAATCTCAAAGTTGTTCAAGTCGTTTTCGAACAGTTTTTGTTTAAAGCGAATAATTTACAAGGTTTTTACGTTTATTTGCTTTAAACAAGAGCCAAAACTGGGAAAATTAACTTAAATTAGGCAGTAGTGATGATCCTGGACATTTATGGACATTGGTCATTGGTATTTATTTTTTTGAAATCATTTAATTTCTTGTGTTTGAACGGTTTGATTTTCTGATCTGTTGTTGGCGAAACGACATCTTTGTAAAGTCCTCCGAGATTACTTTTGTTGTGAATACAGTGAATGCGGTTTGTTTGAAGCTAACAAATGCTAACTGCTAACGGTAAACGGTGTGTTGCTATGGTAAAAGATGCTAACTGCTATCTGTAAACTGTGTGTTGCTATGGTAACAGAAGCGGCACGATTTCCAGAAAACTGCCAGAAGCTGCCGGAAGCCTGTGGAGTGAGCAAGCAACTGCTGACATAATTACAGTAATAATAACAATAATACGTCTATATTTGTACAGCAATTTAAAAAAAATCAGTTCTTATAAAGTGCTGCACCGGCCTCAGAGAAAAGCTGTTTGATAAAAGTGGGTTTTAAGAAATGATTTAAAAAGATTTGTCTCGTTGGGAAAAGATGAGCCTGGATCCGTAGATAAGAAATCAGGTCACAGCAGCAGAGGTGGAGTAGCCTCTGGGTGGAGCAGGACGGGTCACAGCAGCAGAGGTGGAGTAGCCTCTGGGTGGAGCAGGACTGGTCACAGCAGCAGAGGTGGAGGAGCCTCTGGGTGGAGCAGGACAGGTCACAGCAGCAGAGGTGGAGTAGACTCTGGGTGGAGCAGGACGGGTCACAGCAGCAGAGGTGGAGTAGCCTCAGGGTGGAGCAGGACAGGTCACAGCAGCAGAGGTGGAGTAGCCTCAGGGTGGAGCAGGACAGGTCACAGCAGCAGAGGTGGAGTAGCCTCTGGGTGGAGCAGGACGGGTCACAGCAGCAGAGGTGGAGTAGCCTCTGGGTGGAGCAGGACGGGTCACAGCAGCAGAGGTGGAGAAGTCTCTGGGTGGAGCAGGACGGGTCACAGCAGCAGAGGTGGAGAAGCCTCTGGGTGGAGCAGGACGGGTCACAGCAGCAGAGGTGGAGTAGCCTCTGGGTGGAGCAGGACAGGTCACAGCAGCAGAGGTGGAGTAGCCTCTGGGTGGAGCAGGACAGGTCACAGCAGCAGAGGTGGAGTAGCCTCTGGGTGGAGCAGGACAGGTCACAGCAGCAGAGGTGGAGTAGCCTCTGGGTGGAGCAGGACGGGTCACAGCAGCAGAGTTGGAGTAGCCTCTGGGTGGAGCAGGACGAGTCACAGCAGCAGAGGTGGAGTAGCCTCTGGGTGGAGCAGGACAGGTCACAGCAGCAGAGGTGGAGTAGCCTCTGGGTGGAGCAGGACAGGTCACAGCAGCAGAGGTGGAGTAGCCTCTGGGTGGAGCAGGACAGGTCACAGCAGCAGAGGTGGAGTAGCCTCTGGGTGGAGCAGGACAGGTCACAGCAGCAGAGGTGGAGTAGCCTCTGGGTGGAGCAGGACGGGTCACAGCAGCAGAGTTGGAGTAGCCTCTGGGTGGAGCAGGACGAGTCACAGCAGCAGAGGTGGAGTAGCCTCTGGGTGGAGCAGGACAGGTCACAGCAGCAGAGGTGGAGTAGCCTCTGGGTGGAGCAGGACAGGTCACAGCAGCAGAGGTGGAGTAGCCTCTGGGTGGAGCAGGACGGGTCACAGCAGCAGAGGTGGAGTAGCCTCTGGGTGGAGCAGGACAGGTCACAGCAGCAGAGGTGGAGTAGCCTCTGGGTGGAGCAGGACAGGTCACAGCAGCAGAGGTGGAGTAGCCTCTGGGTGGAGCAGGACGGGTCACAGCAGCAGAGTTGGAGTAGCCTCTGGGTGGAGCAGGACGAGTCACAGCAGCAGAGGTGGAGTAGCCTCTGGGTGGAGCAGGACGAGTCACAGCAGCAGAGGTGGAGTAGCCTCTGGGTGGAGCAGGACGGGTCACAGCAGCAGAGGTGGAGTAGCCTCTGGGTGGAGCAGGACGGGTCACAGCAGCAGAGGTGGAGTAGCCTCTGGGTGGAGCAGGACGGGTCACAGCAGCAGAGGTGGAGCAGGACGGGTCAAAAGGTGGAGTAGCCACTCAGTTCAGACCATTTTTCTTGCTTCATGCTTCATTAGCATTTTTCATCACGGGCGGCACGGTGGCTGAGTGGATAGCACTCTCGCCTCTCAGCAAGAAGGTCCTGGGTTCGAATCCCGGTTGGACCAGGGCCTTTCTGAGTGGAGTTTGCATGTTCTCCCCGTGTCTGCGTAGGTTTCCTCCGGGTACTCCGGTTTCCCCTACCACTAAAAATATGTACAATAGGTCTGGCATGCGCCTCCTGTACTGGCCCCGCTCCCATCTCTGTGTGGAGTGAGAGACAAATGCCCAAAAAAATAACAATTGTAAACCGCTTTGAGACTCAGATCTGCAGTGAAAAGGCGGTATATAAATAAAGATTACTACTACTACTTACTTCATAAAGTTAGCATTCCTCCAGTGGATTTTTTCCTGATCCACTTGGTTTGGACCATGAATCCTCTCTGCTCCGGTCTGGACCAGTGTAAAACCATGAATCCTCTCTGCTCTGGTCTGGACCAGTGTAAAACCATGAATCCTCTCTGCTCTGGTCTGGACCAGTGTAAAACCATGAATCCTCTCTGCTCTGGTCTGGACCAGTGTAAAACCATGAATCCTCTCTGCTCTGGTCTGGACCAGTGTAAAACCATGAATCCTCTCTGCTCTGGTCTGGTGTGCAGTTCTCCTTGTACAGTCTGACAGCAGCCGGGAGGAAAGGCCTGTCTGTGTGAAGAGTCAGGCAGAGCGAGTGGAGTGCAGAGAGACAGATCTTCACCTGCTTCTGCCCCGGGCCACGTTTTAATGAACCGCTGAGATTCTGTGTCTTTGCCGCTCACAGAAGTTGGTAATGACTCATTTTGGTGTCACGCAAATAAACGGTTGATACAAACTGTGCTTCCCCCTCGTGCCTCGCGGATAAAAGGAAAAAAAGAAAAAAAGCTTATTCTCTCTCCTTTTTTTGCGCTCAACAAAGATACTAGAATAGAACGTGGCGTGTGACGTGAGAGAGCGTGGATTAAGGACAATGGGAATAAAAAGTGTTTTGGGCTTTGATCCATGAGGCTAACGCTATAAATACATTTGTTCTTGATAGATACTGTCTCTCTCTCTCTCTCTGTGTCTCTCTCTGTCTGTCTCTCTCTCCCTCTCTCTCAGCTGTAAAACCATATACTGTATGTTTTAATTAAGAGAACATTGAAATAAACCCGTCCTTTATGGTTCTAAAGCTTTTCGTTTCACCGTTGGGGTCTTTCTCTTCTGGCGTCGCCGCTGATGCCTGTTCTTCTCTGCTCTTGTTCTTTTGTTTTGCCGTAGTCTCTGCAGGTCTGTCTCTCTTCTTCCTCTTCTCCCAGCGACACACAGAGTGAGAGAAAAGCACCGCCCACGCTGCTGATCACACGGTGCATCGTTGGAGCGGAGTAACGAGGACCGAGACAAAGGCCGGACTGAAGGGTTTGAACTGTGAATATGCGTTATCCAACTTTTCTGCTGGATTTGGTGGCCTGGTATGGCACGGGTCTTCATCAGAACAAAGAGGGTTAGAGGCCCCATATACATCTATAAGAGGGTTAGTAATAGCAAGGTCGCCTACAGGGGGCGCAGGCCATACTTACTGTGCATGTTTTTAGTGGCAGGGAAAACCGGATCACCCGGAGGAAACCTACGTCGACACGGGGAGAACATGCAATGCCCACTCAGAAAGGCCCAGTTCCGACCGGGATTCGAACCCAGGAAGTACTGGAAGTAATATAGAAAGATACTAATAATAAAACAGTCCTTCAGGTCACAGCAGGAGCCGCTTGGTTCAGACCATTCTCTGTGCTCTGGTCTGGACCAGTGTAAAACCATGAATCCTCTCTGCTCTGGTCTGGACCAGTGTAAAACCATGAATCCTCTCTGCTCTGGTCTGGACTACTCGCTTCTCAGCCAGAAGGTCATGGGTGTGAATGGAGTTTGCTTGTTCTCCCCGTGTCTGTGTAGGTTTCCTTCAGATGCTCTGGTTTGTATCTATGAATATAACTTTGTGAAGTGCTTTGAATGACCTTGGTCTAAAAAGATGTGCTATATAAATAAAGATGACGTATTTACTTACCATCAGACACCAACGATACTGTCTCCATTTCTCACTCTCTCCTGGAGCCAGCCCAATCCAGGCCAATTACAATCTCACTAGTTGCTAATATAACTGCATAAATAACTAGCACAGAGACCTGTTAGCACCAGCGCTAACGCTAATCCACTGTTTTATGGCGGGGCTGGCTCGGAGCCTTCGTCAGCGGTGAAGACTGAGGATGACGAGGCTCTTTGAAAAACAACTCTCGCTGCTTTTAGTGGAGAAAAACGAGGGCTTTAATATTTCTATCTGAAGCTAACGGCACCGAGTGGAGCCATTTAGTCGCAGGGAGGTGTCAGAATTCTTTATCCGCGCTGCACCTTCATCCGTCTGTTCTGCAGGTGATTTGTGTGAGTTACTTTGTCTAATTCTGACTGTAAAATATGTTGTTTTTCTGCCAAACGCCTTCCATTACTTTAAGTGTAAAAGCGGCGTACAGGGTTCATCGAGTTGAGATATGGAGACTGGGAGTCGCTGAGGAGAGAGGAGGGAAAGGGAAAGAAAACCACCTCATCATCTCCACGAGCTCCTGAATGTAACGGAACGCTTTGTTTTGAGGCCGTAGCGATGAAGGATGTGTGAATGAACCTGTGTATGTCGAGGTTGGCCAGAAAACAGACGGGTTTTTGGGGCAAGATGGACTCTACAGAAGACTGGATGTGTCACGGAAATAATCCAAAAATGCAGAACTGCAAAAATCCAGTTGTCGGCGCCAAAATATTGAATAGTTAATTTGCACAGCCCCATGGACGCTTTTGTCTCCATCTAGTGGACGCACTGGGCTACTTCAGGTGTGCAGTGTCACCTGGAGGTGCGGCTGCAGCAGGAAGAGACCTCTCTCTCTCTCTCTCTATGTCCACGCTCGCCCGCTGGTCCACGTCCTGTAGCTCAGGTCCTGGATCTACAGCCTCAGTCCTCGTTCTACAGTCTGAGACCTGGATATATAGCCTCAGTCCTCGTTCTACAGTCTGAGTCCTGGATCTATAGCCTCAGTCCTCGTTCTACAGTCTGAGTCCTGGGTCTACAGCCTCAGTCCTCGTTCTACAGTCTGAGTCCTGGATCTACAGCCTCAGTCCTCGTTCTACAGTCTGAGTCCTGGGTCTACAGCCTCAGTCCTCGTTCTACAGTCTGAGTCCTGGGTCTACAGCCTCAGTCCTCGTTCTACAGTCTGAGACCTGGATCTACAGCCTCAGTCCTCGTTCTACAGTCTGAGTCCTGGATCTACAGCCTCAGTCCTCGTTCTACAGTCTGAGTCCTGGGTCTACAGCCTCAGTCCTCGTTCTACAGTCTGAGTCCTGGGTCTACAGCCTCAGTCCTCGTTCTACAGTCTGAGTCCTGGATCTACAGCCTCAGTCCTCGTTCTACAGTCTGAGTCCTGGATCTACAGCCTCAGTCCTCGTTCTACAGTCTGAGTCCTGGATCTACAGCCTCAGTCCTCGTTCTACAGTCTGAGTCCTGGGTCTACAGCCTCAGTCCTCGTTCTACAGTCTGAGTCCTGGGTCTACAGCCTCAGTCCTCGTTCTACAGTCTGAGTCCTGGATCTACAGCCTCAGTCCTCGTTCTACAGTCTGAGTCCTGGATCTACAGCCTCAGTCCTCGTTCTACAGTCTGAGTCCTGGATCTACAGTCTGAGTCCTGGATCTATAGCCCGTCCGTCCGTGAGAGCGGATCCCTTTCTAAAACCATGGGTCTCCCTGAGGTTTCTCACTTTTTCCCACTGGGTTTTCTTATGAGTTTTTCCTCTGATGCAGGAGAGTCTGTTGGACAGTTAGTGTCCAACTAGAAGGACTGTGATGATCCATGTATGACATTTATGTCTCTGCACATGGTAGAGTCCGTGGACAACTTCAAGTCACAACTTACCTATTTGTTTGGAACGGACTCTGATGTGTTCTACTTTTCATCGTATGTTTTTAATTATGAAGCGCTTTGTGATTCTGGTCTGTGAAAGGCGATGTACAGATAAACTTTACGTAATTACAAAGTTCGTCAATAAAAAAAAAAAAATTACAATAAATACCCGGGACAAATTCCTCCATCGTCAATACCTTTTTACAGTGTATTTCCATCTGTCCACACTGGGCTTGATGTAACCACGGTAACCCTCTCATCCATCAGAGCTCCGTCAATTACCTCCAGCCTCCTGCCCCCGAGAGGAAAGGGTCACCCCCAAACACACCCACACACACACACACACACACACACACACACACACACACACACACACACACACACACACACACACACACACACACACACACACACACACACACACACACACACACACACACACACACACACACACACACACACACACCCCCACACCCCCCCACCAAATGACTGGAATTGTAATTTTGCAATACAGTACATAACAAATATGTGCATGTCTGTTTTTAGTCTGTGGTTTAGGCTCTTGTTACTATATTTACAACCCACACAAACAACACTGTCCATCTCGGGATCAGCAAATCATTCATTTGAACAATTAACCTGAAATGTGAGAATCTGGGACGTTTCCTCCGGTCTCTGCTTCTGTAGTTTGGTGTTTTCATGATTTTAGAAAAGGCACAACATTGATTAGATTCAAGATACAAGAATTTATTTGCCATTTGCAGTAAAACCACATTGAAAAAACTGTGCGAGACTACTCTTTAAAACGTCTACAAAACTTTCCTGTTTGTTTGGGATGGAATTAAAATGTATTTGATGTTTACATTTTGTTCAGTCCATGACTTGTTTAATGGGGACAACAAAAATAATCAATATTTCCATGTATTTCCATATATTGCAGAGCCCTAGTTCTATCACTGGAACTACTAGAACTCCCAGAGCCGTCATTTTGACTGTTCCAATTCAAACCAATGGAATTCCGCCCAAAAATATTCAGTTTTCACCAAAAGGACTTTCAGTTTGGACAGTCTGGTCCTGGTCTGGTTTTAGAAAAAGTTTATAGAATAACATTTGCAAAAACCAGCAGGATCATTTGACTTTGTAAAACATACAGTTGCATTAATCCATCCATCCATCCATCTTCTACCCTTTAATCCATTTCTGGGTCAGGGGGGTGGCAGTCAGAGATGCCACCCAAGTCTCATAGCACTAGCCCCTCACTGACCCTCTGCAGGTGGTGAGTCCACAGGAGGACGGCTGCTCTCTGAGTGTGAGCATAGCCTTGATCTTTCAGTGGGGGCTTTGGGCAAAGTGGGGCTAAGTGTCTTGCCCAAGGACACAACGACAGCAGTCATCAGTGGGAGTCGGTGGAGAAGGTGCAGAGGTGGGAATTGAACCCACGACCTTCTGGCCTTAAGGCCAATGCTCTACCAACTGAGCTACTGTCGCCTCAAAGTTGCATTAATAATACTTTTGATTCTGCGTGTGTTTCTGGACTGCTCCGACTCTCAGCTGTGTGAACACATTTCCTCCTCGTCGCTAAAAGGATTAGTAAGAGCCGTATGTGTTCAGCTTATGAATCCGAGCCCAGAGTTATTAAATATAGAAAGGAACATCCGGCGAGCGCCTAAAAACAGCTCTCCTCATGTTTACATTCAACAGACAGCTTCCCCTCACGCCTCCGCAGACCTCACACCTGATGCAGACCACTGTGGATGACTTACACCTGATCCGGACCTGATCCGGACCACTGTGGATGACTTACACCTGATCCGGACCAATGTGGATGACTTACACCTGATCCGGACCACTGTGGATGACTTACACCTGATCCGGACCAATGTGTATATGTGTTTATGTATGGGTGTGTATTGGCCTTCCCCAGACGCGAGTGCGAGTGCGTCTGGGGAAAAATGTCTCTGACTCTCGGATTATAAATACAGGAGCCCCACAGGG